GATGGTGAGAGGGTGAGAGAGGTGGGGAGGAGAGGGGGAGGGAGGGATGGTGAGAGGGTGAGAGGGGTGAGAGAGGGAGTGGAGGGAGAGAGAGAGATGAGAGGGTGAGAGGGTGAGAGGGTGAGAGAGGTGGAGGGAGAGGGAGGGACGGATGGTGAGAGGGTGAGAGAGGTGGGGAGGAGAGGGGGGGGAGGGGATGGTGAGAGGGTGAGAGGGAGAGAGGGTGAGGGGTGAGAGAGGGGAGTGGAGGGAGAGGTGAGAGAGATGAGAGGGTGAGAGGGAGAGGGTGAGAGAGGTGGGGAGGGAGAGGGGGAGGGACGGATGGTGAGAGGGTAGAGAGGTGGGGAGGGAGAGGGGGAGGGAGGATGGTGAGAGGGTGAGAGGGTGAGAGGGGTGAGAGAGGGGAGTGGAGGGAGAGGTGAGAGAGATGAGAGGGTGAGAGGGTGAGAGGGTGAGAGAGGTGGGAGGGAGAGGGGGGAGGGAGGATGGTGAGAGGGTGAGAGAGGTGGGGAGGGAGAGGGGAGGAGGGATGGTGAGAGGTGAGAGAGGGGAGTGGAGGGAGAGGTGAGAGAGAGAGAGGGTGAGAGGGTGAGAGGGGGATGGGGAAGAGGGTGAGTGGGTGAGAAGGGGGGTGGAGGAAGAGGGGGGGGGAGAAGAGGGAGAGGGGAGAGGTGAGAGAGATGAGAGAGTGAGAGGGAGAGAGGATGAGAGGGTGAGAGAGTGAGAGAGGGGGAGGAAGGGGAGAGAGTGAGAGGAGAAGATGAGAGAGATGAGAGGGTAAGAGGGTAAGAGAGTGAGAGAGATGAGAGAGAGAGAGAAGAGAGAGAGAGAGAGAGAGAGAGAAGAGAGAAGAGAGAGAGAGAAGAGAGAGAGAGAGAGAGAGAGAGAGAGAGAGAGAGAGAGAGAGAGAGAGAGAGAGAGGAGGAGAGGAGGGAGAGAGGAGAGAGGAGAGAGAGAGAGAGAGAGAGAGAGAGAGAGAGAGAGAGAGAAGAGAGAGAGAGAGAGAGAGAGAGAGAGAGAGAGAGAGAGAGAGAGAGAGAAGAGAGAGAGAGAGGAGAGAGAGAGAGAGAGAGGAGAGAGAGGAAGAGAGGAGAGAGAGAGAGAGGAGAGAAGAGAGAGAGAGGAGAGAGAGAGAGAGAGAGAGAGAGAGAGAAGAGAGAGAGAGAGAAGAGAGAGAGAGAGAAAGAGAAAGAGAAAAAGAGAAAGAGAAGAGAAAGAGAAGAGAAAGAAAGAGAAAGAGAAAGAGAAAGAGAGGAGAAAGAGAAAGAGAAAGAGAAAGAGAAGAGAAAGAAAGAGAAGAAGAGAAAGAAAGAGAAAGAGAACGAGAAAGAGAGAAAAGAGATAGACAGATAAGAGTGACAGAGAGAGAGAAAGAGAGAGACAGATAGTTAGATAGATAGAGAGAGAGAACCAACCAGTAGTTCTCAACCTCTCCTATCCAAACAGTGACAATCTCCATGGCCCTATTCAGTGCCTATCCTCCTTTCAGCCTCAATTATGAATAGTTGTATGGATAGTATAATGATCTTAATAGGCCAAGAACACTTTTTTATTGATTGACTGATACGACAAAATGATCATCTGTAAGTATTGTGAGACAAAACCAGTTTAATTCCTTTGTAAATCTGTAAGTATTGTAAGTGAGACAAAACCAGTTTAACTCCAAGTAATAATAGTCATATTGTTCCCCCCACCGCCAGTAAATACTTCTAACCCACAACCCCTCCTCAACCCCATTCCCCTCCAACCCCAACCCCTCCCACCACCCTCCAACCCCAACCACCCCCTACCCCACCCCAACCCACCAAACCCCTACCCCCTTCACCTCCCCACCCACCAACCCCTTCCTCAACCCCATCCACCCTCCAACCCCTCCCCACCCCAACCCACCAACCCAATCCCCCTCCCATCCTCCACCCACCCACCCCTCCAACCCCTCCATCCCCCCCACCCACAACCACCCCCTCCCACCCCCTCCAACCCCCTCCAACCCCTACTCACCGCTGTCACCGTGTGAACCCCAGGCGCCGCCGAGTGAAACCCCGCCCCCAGGGTCTTCAAGACGACCTGAGCTCCTTCAAGACCCTCTCTGTGGGGGAGAGAAGGAGGGAATGGAGTAAGCATGATAAAGATGGTGATAACGAGGATGAAAAGAGAAATGTGATAAAGATAGTGCTAACGATGATAAAAAGAGAAATGTGATAAAGATGGTGATAACGAGGATAAAGAGAAATGTGATAAAGATGATAAACGATGATAAAAAGAGAATGAGGGAAGGAAAGGAATGGAGTAAGCATGATAAAGATGGTGATAACGATGATAAAAAGAGAAACGAGAAAAGGAGGTAATGGAATAAATAATAATAATGGTGTAGCGACGATAGAAAGAGAAATGAGAGAAGGAGGAAATAGAATAATCATGATAAAGATAGTGATAACGGGAATAAGAAGAGGAATAATAAGATCATGATAAAGATGACGCTGGGACAAAACGAGAGGAAATGAGGAATAATCATGATAAAGATGGTAATAAAGGGAATAAGATAAATTGTAATAATAATAATGATAATAATAAAGAATAATCATGATAAAGATAATGATGAAGAGAACGAGGAAAAAAAGAACATAATTGTTTAAAATGGTGAGATAATGATAAATAATTATAAACAATTGCAATAACAACAGCAATAATGATAATAATATTAACAGTAATAAAAGCAATAATATTATCAATAGCAATACTAGTCAGTCTCTGTCCCACTCTCCCTCCCTTTCCTTCCATTTCCCTCCCTTCCTCCCTTTCCCTCCTCCCCACTCCCTTCCCTCGAATCCCTTCCACCCTCTCCCTCCTCCCCTTCTCTCCCTTTCCCTTCTCCCCTCTCGTTTCCTCCCTTCCACCCTCTCCCTCTCTATCCCTCCTCCTCCTCCATTTCCCTTAAATCCCTCCTCCCCTCTCCCTCTGCCTCCTTCCATCCCCTTTCCTCCCTTTCCCCCTTCCCTCTCCTTCCTTCCTTCCCTCAAATCCTTCCTCCCTTCTCCCTTCCAACCTCTCCCTCCCTTTCCCTCCTTCCTTCCTCCATTTCCCTTAAATCCCTCCTTCCTTCTCCCTTCCACCCTCTCCCTCCCCTTTCCTTTCTCCCCTCTCTCCTTCCTCCTCCCTTTCTATCTCCTTCTCCCTTTCCCTTCCTCCCTCCCTTTCCCCTCTCCCTTTCTCTCCCTTCCTCCTTTTCTTCCCTATCCCTCTTCCCATCTTCCTCCTTCCTACCCCCCTCTCCTTCCTCCCTTTCCCTCCTCCCTCCTTCCCTCCCTCCCTTCCTTTCCCCCCTCTCCCCTTCCCCCTACCCCCTCCCCCCTCTCTCCCCTCTCCCTCTCCCCCCTCCCCCCCTCCCTCTCCCCCCCCCTTCCTCCTACCTATGCAACACCGAAGTCAGAATGTGCAAGTGTTGCACAGCGAGCCAGTGGACACCGCCAACCACTATGACCGTGTTGCTGTTGTTCTGCAATGGACCCGCTCTGTGGATGAGAGAGAAAGGGCGGATTAGCGGAGAGGAAAGAGAGAAGAAAGGTAATAGAGAGAAAGGGTGGGTTAGTGGGGAGGAAAGGGAGATAAAGAGAGAGAAAGGTGATAGAATGTGATTATGATTATATTATAAAAGACAGAAAAGATTATGGAGAAAAAAGGGTCGATTAGTGGGTTTAATTTCGGAGGAAAGGGAGATGAGAGATAAAAGAGAAAGATTATGGAGAGAAAGGGTGGGTTAGTGGGAAGGAAAGGGAGATAAAGAGAGAGAAAGATTATGGAGAGAAAGGGTGGATTAGTGGGGCTTAAATCGAAGGGAAGGGAGATGAGAGTAAACAGAGAGAAAAGATTATGGAGAGAGGGTGGGTTAGTGGGGGCTTAATTCGAAGAAAGGGAGATGTCGGGAAGAATGGATGGAAAGGAATGGAAAAGGGAAAATAAGAGATAAAAAGAGATAAAAGAGAAATGGGATGGAAGAAGAAATGGGGAAGGGAAGATGAGGATTTGTGGATAAATGGTGAATAAGGGGTATTTGGATTTTTTATGGAGGAAATGTCTGACAAAATTCTATGTTTTTTTCATGTTTTGTGTTTTTTTCCAACTTATATATATCAGATACTCTCTCTCTCTCTCCTCTCTCTCTCTCTCTCTCTCTCTCTCTCTCTCTCTCTCTCTCTCTCTCTCTCTCTCTCTCTCTCTCTCTCACACACACACACACACACACACGCTTCCCCTCCCCCTCCACCCCTCACCTGAGCAACAGCTGATAGAGCGTCTTATCGAACACCGGCCGCTGATTGGAGGGCAGCCAGAACTTCGGGTAGTAAGCGAAGGCGAAATTGGTGTGACCCGAGCTGACCTTCCGGATGACCTTCAAGTCGTGGGTCTTGTCCCAGGAGGTCAGAGAGCCGTTGACCTTCTCCACGAGAGCGTAGAGCATCCCGCGGTTGGTGCTGTCGCCGAGGAAGACGAGCTGGAAAGGGAAAGGGGGGATAAAAAGAAGGAAGAGAGGGAGGGGGGATGAGAAGGAGTGGAGGGGAAGGTGTGAAGATGTATGAGTAATTGATAAAAGAAGGGCATGGTGGAGGTAGAAAAAATGGTGCAGAGGTACGATAAATCTCTGACCTTTAGGATAGATAGATAATAAATGAGAGAGAGAGGAGAGAGAGAGAGAGAGAGAAGAGAGAGAGAGAGAGAGAGAGAGAGGAGGAGAGAGAGAGAGAGAGAGAGACAAAGAGAGAGAAGAGAGAAGAGAAGAGAGACAGACAGAGAGAGAGAGAGGGAAAGAGAGACACAGAGAAAGACAGAAAAGAAAAAAAAAAAAAGAGTGATAGGAACAAAAAACAGACAACAAAAAAAATCCCCTCAAAAAAAAAAAAAAAAAAAAAAAAAAAAAATCTCCCAACCTTCTTACCCCCCCCCCCTCTCCCTCCATCTCTTCAAACCACTCCAACCCCCTTCCCCTCTCCACTCACCGTTTTCCCTCGGAGACACTTCTGGAGGCCCGGGCGGGAGAGGGGGCGTGCGAGCAAGCATACGGCTGCCACAGTGCCTTCGTCAATCGCAGGTGGCACGCTCGAGGCACCAGCCGCATGGCACCACCCAGCGACCTGTAGGGGAGGGGGGGGTAGGGAGGGTGGAATAGTAGGCAAGGGGGGTTGTGGAGGGTGGGGTAGTGGGAGGTTGAGAGGAGGGAGGGAGTAGGGGAGTTGGGGGGAGAGGAGGGGTAGGTGGAAGGAGGGGAGAGGAGGGTGAGGTGGGAAGTGAAGGAGGGGGAAGGGGGATGGGGAGGGAATAGAGGGAGTGGTTTGGGGAGAGGAGGGAATAGGTGGGGGAGTTGGGGAGGGGGATGTGGGGAGGTAGATAGTATGGGACGGGTTGGGGAGAGAGGGAGGGGGGTGGAGGGTAGAATAGTAGTGGGGATTGTGGGAGAGGAGGGGGAGGTTGGCGAGGACAGGGAGGGAATGTTGGGGGAGAGGGTAGGTGGGGAGTAGAAATAGTAGGGACGGTGGGAGAAGAGGGGTAGGGAGGGTAGGGGACGGGGGAGTGGGGTGAGGGGAGGGAGGAAGAGGAGAGGGGTAGTGAGGGTAGAATAGTAGGGGAGGGAGGGGAGAGGAGGACGGAGAGGTTGAGAGGAGGAGGGGAAGAGGTGGAGGGTAGAATAATAGGAGGGAGAGGAGGGCGGATGGGGGAGTGGTAGGAGGGGAGGAGTATGTGGATGGGAAGATAATAACACTTATACCATGTAATTATATCATTATTACTATAATTTTCATCATTATAAATCATTACCATCTGTATCCACAGTTATCCATAATCACCTTTATCATCAATCACACAACGAAGAAAGTAATCAAAGAAAGAAATGAATATAAAGCAGCGATAACAAAATGATTAAAGAAAGAAAATGAATAAATAAAATCAGCAATAACAAACGTAATAAAGAAAAGAAAAAGAATAATAAAAAACATCAATAACAAAGTAATTAAAGGAAAGAAATGAATAATAAAAGCAGCAATAACAAAAAAACAAGAAAAGAATAAAAATGAATAACAAAAGCACCATTAACAAAGTATATAAAAAGAAAATGAATAACAAAAACAGCAATAAAAAAGTAATCAAAGAAAAAAATGATTAAATAAAGCAAGCAATAACAAAAGTAATTAAAGAAGAAAATGAACATACAAAAATTAAGAAAGAAAGATAACAAAGCAGTAACAAAAGTAATAAGGAGAAAATGAATAATAAAAAGCCAATAAAAAAGTAATTAAAGAAAATGAATAATAAAAGCACAATACAAGAAGTAATTAAAGAAAAGGAATAATAAAAACAGCAATAACAAAAGTAATTAAAGAAAGAAAATGAATAACAAAAGCAGCAATAACAAAAGTAATTAAAGAAAGAAAATGAATAACAAAAGCAGCAATAAAAAAAGTAATTAAAGAAAGAAAATTGATAATAAAGCACCAATAAAAAAAATAATAAAGAAGACATGAATAATAAAGCCAGCAATAAAAAAATATTAAGAAAAGAAAATGAATAAAAAGCGCAATAACAAAGTAATTAAAAGAAAATGAAACAAAGCAGCAATAACAAAAGTAATTAAAGAAAGAAAATGAATAATAAAAGCAGCAATAAAAAAAGTAATTAAAGAAAGAAAATGAATAATAAAAGCAGCAATAACAAAAATAATTAAAGAAAGAATATGTAAAAAAAAGCAATAACAAAATAATAAAATAAAGAAAATGAATAATGAAGCAGCAATAACAATAAAAAAAAATGAATAATAAAAGCAGCAATAACAAAAGTAACATTAAAGAAAAATTAAATAATAAAAGCAGCAGCAATAACAAAATAATTAAATAAGAAAATGAATAATAAAAACCAGCAATAACAAAGTAATTAAAGAAAGAAAAAACAATAAAAAAGCAGAATAACAAAAGTAATTAAAGAAAGAAAATGATATTAAAAAGCAACAATAACCAAAAGTAATTAAAGAAAGAAAATGATAAGCAGCAATAAACAAAATAATTAAAGAAATGAATAAAAAGCAGCAATAACAAAAGTAATTAAAGAAATGAAAATAAAAGCAGCAATAACAGAATAATTAAAGAAAATGAAAATAAAAGCAGCAATAACAAATAATTAAAGAAAGAAAATGAATAATAAAAGCAGCAATATAACAAAATAATAAAGAAAATGAATAATAAAAGCGCAATAACAAAAGTAATTAAAGAAAAATGAATAATAAAAGCAACAATAAAAGTCAGAATAAAAAGCAGTAATTAAAGAAAGAAAATGAATAATTAAAAGCAAGCAATAACAAAATAATTAGAGAAAAAAATGAATAAAAGCAGCAATAACAAAAGTAATTAAAGAAAATGAATAATAAAAGCAGCAATAACAAAAGTAATTAAAGAAAATGAATAATAAAAGCAGCAATAACAAAAAGTAATTAAAGAAAATGAAATAAAAAAGCAACAATAACAAAAGTAATTAAAGAAAGAAAATGAATAATAAAAGCAGCAATAACAAAAGTAATTAAAGAAAATGAATAATAAAAGCAGCAATAACAAAAGTAATTAAAGAAAAAAATAATAAAAAGCAGCAATAACAAAGTTAATTAAAGAAATGAATAATAAAAGCCATTCAGCAATAACAAAAAGTAATTAAAGAAAGAAAAATGAATTAATAAAGCAGCAATAACAAAAGTAATTAAAGAAAATGGGCAAAAAAAAGTAATAAAAAAAGATAATAAGCAGCAATAACAAATAGTAATTAAGAAAATGAGAATAATAAAAAGCAGCAATAACAAAAGTAATTAAGAAAAGAATATTTAAAGCAGCAATAACAAAAGTAATAAAGAAAATGAAATATAAAACAGCAATAAAAAAAGAATTAAAGAAAGAAATGAATAATAAAAAGCAAGCAATAACAAAAGTAATTAAAGAAAAATGAATAATAAAAGCAGCAATAACAAAAGTAATTAAAGAAATGAATAATAAAAGCGCAATAACAAGAAGTAATTAAATAAAATGAATAATAAAACAGCAAATAAAAAAGTAATTAAGAAAAAAATAATAATAAAAAGCAGCAATAACAAAAGTAATTAAAGAAAATGAATAATAAAAGCAGCAATAACAAAAGAATTAAAGAAAATGAATAATAAAAGCAGCAATAACAAAAGTAATTAAAGAAAATGAATAATAAAAGCAACAATAACAAAAGTAATTAAAGAAAATGAATAATAAAAGCAGCAATAACAAAGTAATTAAAGAAATGAATAATAAAAGCAGCAATAACAAAAGTAATTAAAGAAAAAATGAATAATAAAAGCAGGCAATAACAAAAGTAATTAAGAAAATGAAAATAAAAGCCATAACAAAATAATAAAGAAAATTAATAAAAAAGCAACAATAAAAAGTAAAAAGAATAATGAATAATAAAAGCAGCAATAACAAAAGTAATTAAAAAAGAATAATAAAGCAAATAAAAAGTAATAAAGAAAGAAAATGAATAATAAAGCAAGCAAACAAAAGTAATTAAAGAAAATGAAATAATAAAAAGCAGCATAACAAAAGTAATTAAAGAAATGAAGAGCAACATAACAAAAGAAAAAAAATGAACAATAAAAGCAGCAATAACCAAAAGTAATTAAAGAAAGAAAAGGCAATAAAAGCAGCAATAACAAAAGTAATTAAAAGAAAAAATGAATAATAAAAGCACAATAACAAAATTAAAGAAAAATGAAATAATAAAAACAGCAATAACAAAGTAATTAAAGAAAGAAAATGAATAAAAAGCAGATAACAAAGTAATTAAAGAAAGAAATGAATAATAAAAGCAGCAATAACAAAAGTAAATTAAGAAAGAAAAATATAATAAAGCAGCAATAACAAAAGTAATTAAAGAAAATGAATAATAAAAGCAGCAATAACAAAAGTAATTAAAGAAAATGAATAATAAAAGCAGCAATAACAAAAGTAATTAAAAAAAAGAAAAATAATAATAAAAGCAGCAATAAAAAGAAATTAAAGAAAGAAAAATAATAAAAAGCAGCAATACAAAGTAATTAAAGAAAGAAGAATAAAAAAGCAGCAATAACAAATAATTAAAGAAAAGAGCAATAACAAAAGTAATAAAAGAAAGGAAAATGAAATAACAATAAAAGCAGCAATAACAAAAATTAAAGAAAGAAAATGAAAATAAAAAGCAGCAAAACAAAAGTAATTAAAGAAAGAAAATGAATAATAAAAGCAGCAATAACAAAAGTAATTAAAGAAAAATGAATGAATAAAAAGCAGCAATAACAAAAGTAATTAAAGAAAGAAAATGAATAATAAAAGCAGCAATAACAAAAGTAATTAAAGAAAGAAAATGAACAATAAAAGCAGCAATAACAAAATAATTAAAGAAAGAAAATGAATAATAAAGCAGCAATAACAAAAAGTAATAAAAAAGAAAGAATAATAAAAGCAGCAATAACAAAAGTAATTAAAGAAAATGAATAATAAAAGCAGCAATAACAAAAGTAATTAAGAAAGAAAATGATAATAAAAGCAGCAATAACAAAGTAAAAAGAAAGAAAATAATAATAAAAGCAGCAATAACAAAAGTAATTAAAGAAAATAATAATAAAAGCAGCAATAACAAAAGTAATTAAAGAAAGAAAATGAATAATAAAAAGCAGCAATAACAAAAGTAATTAAAAAAGAAAATGAATAATAAAAGCAGCAATAACAAAAGTAATAAGAGAAAGATAAATAATATTATGAATAATAAAAGCAGCAATAACAAAAGTAATTTAAAGAAATAATAATAAAAGCAGCAAAACAAAAGTAATTAAAGAAAGAAAATGAAAATAAAAGCAGCAATAACAAAAGTAATTAAAGAAAGAAATAAATAAAAGCAAGCAATAACAAAAGTAATTAAAGAAAAAAAACAAAAAGCAGCAATAACAAAGAATTAAAGAAGGAAAATGAATAATAAAAGCAGGCATAACAAAGTAATTAAAGAAAAAAATAATAAAAGCAGCAATAACAAAGTAAATTAAAGAAAAAAAATGAACAATAAGCACAATAACAAAAGTAATTAAGAAAGAAAGAATAACAAGTAATTAAAAAGAAAGAAAATGAACAATAAAAGCAGCAATAACAAAAGTAATTAAAGAAAGAAAATGAACAATAAAAGCAGCAATAACAAAAGTAATTAAAGAAAGAAAATGAACAATAAAAGCAGCAATAACAAAAGTAATTAAAAAAATGAATAATAAAGCAGCAATAAACAAAAGTAATTAAAGAAGAAAATGAATAATAAAAGCACAATAACAAAAAAATCAAATGAATAAAAGCAGCAATAACAAAGTAATTAAAGAAAAAAAGAATAATAAAAGCAGCAATAACAAAAGTAATTAAAGAAAGAAAATGAATAATAAAAGCAGCAATAACAAAAGTAATTAAAGAAAATGAACAATAAAAGCAGCAATAACAAAAGAATTAAAGAAAGAAAATGAATAATAAAAGCAGCAATAACAAAATAATTAAAGAAAGAAAATGAATAACAAAAGCAGCAATAACAAAAGTAATTAAAGAAAGAAATGAATAAAAAAACAGCAATAACAAAAGTAATTAAAGAAAGAAAAGAATAATAAAAGCAGCAATAACAAAAGTAATAAAGAAAGAAAATGAAAATAAAAAGCAGCAATAACAAAAGTAATTAAAGAAAGAAAATGAACAATAAAAGCAGCAATAACAAATAATAAAGAAAAAAATGAAAATAAAGCAGCAATAAAAAGTATTAAAGAAAGAAAGAATAACAAATAATAAGAAAAACAGCAGCAAATAACAAAAAATTAAAAAGAAAATGAACAATAATAAAAAGCAGCAATAACAAAAGTAATTAAAGAAAGAAAATGAATAATAAAAGCAGCAATAACAAAAGTAATTAAAGAAAGAAAATGAAATAAAAGCAGCAATAACAAAAAATTAAAGAAAGAAATGAATAATAAAAGCAGCAAAACAAATAATAAAGAAAGAGAATAATAAAGCAGCAATACAAAAGTAATTAAGAAAGAAATGAAAATAAAAGCGCAATAACAAAGTAATTAAGAAAGAAAATGACAATAAAGAGCAATAACAAAAAATTAAAGAAAAAAATGAATAATAAAAGCAGCAATAACAAAAGTAATTAAAGAAAGAAAATGAACAATAAAAGCAGCAATAACAAAAGTAATTAAAGAAAGAAAAAGAATAATAAAAACAGCAATAACAAAAGTAATTAAAGAAGAAAATGAATAATAAAAAGCAGCAATAACAAAAATAATAAGAAAGAAAATGACAATAAAAGCGGCAATAACAAAAGTAATTAAAGAAAGAAAATGAACATAAAAAGCAGCAATAACAAAAGTAATTAAATAAAGAAAATGAATAAAAAAGCCAATAACAAAGTAATTATTAAAGAAGAAAAGAATAATAAAAGCAGCAATAAACAAAAGTAAGAATTAAAAGAAAAAGAATAAAAAAAGCAGACAATAACAAAAGTAATAAGAAAGAAATAATAATAAAAGCAACAATAACAAAAGTAATTTAAGAAAGAAAAGAATAAATAAAAGCACAATAACAAAAATTAAAGAAAGAAAGAATAATAAAACAACAAAACAAAATAATTAAGAAAAGAAAATGAACAATAAGCGCAATAACAAAATTAAAGAAAATGAATAATAAAAGCAACCAATAACAAAAGTAATTAAAGAAAGATGGAATAACAAAGTAAACAAAAAGCAGCAATAACAAAAGTAATTAAAGAAAGAAAAGAATAAAAAAGCAAAAGCAGCAGCATAACAAAATAATTAAAGAAAGGAAAATGAATAAGCACAGCAGCAAATAACAAAAATAATTAAAGAGAAGAATAATGAATCAATAAAGCAAACAAAAATAATTAAAGAAAGAAAAAGAAACACAAGCAGCAATAACAAAAATAATTAAAAAAGAAATTGAATAACACTAACAAATAACAAAAAAATTAAAGAAAGGAAAAGAAAGTAACAAAGCAGCAATAACAAAAAATAATTAAAGAAAGAAAAGGAATAACACAGCAGCAATAACAAAAATAATTTAAAGAAAGAAAAAGGAATAACAAGCAGCAATAACAAATAATTAAGAAAGAAAAGAATAACACAAGCAGCAATAACAAAAAATAAAGAAAGAAAAGGAAAACACAAGCACAATAACAAAAATAATTAAAGAAGAAAAGGAAAAACACAAGCAGCCAATAACAAAAAATTAAGAAAGAAAAATAAAAAGAACAATAACAAAATAATTAAAAAAAAAGGAATAACACAAGCAGCAATAACAATAACAAAAACAACAAAAGCCCATTGGACTCACCGTGGGCGTCTCCTTGGCTACAGGGCTTGAGAGCTTGGGCGTGGGCGAGGAAAGCCGCCCACGAGGTGAAGGAAGACTCGACCCTCAGCCCGCACGGCTCCGAGGGGACATGCGCAGCTCGCATCCTGGGGGAAGGGGGGTTGCAGAGGGGGGAGGGGTCGTTGCAGAGGGGTCGTTGTGGGGGTCTTTGTAGGGGGGTCATTGAAGGGGAGAGTCAAAGGGGGGTTGTTGCAGGTTGCGTGCAGGGGGAGGGGCATTGCAAGGGGCGGGGGGCAAAAGGGGCGTGGTGTTAGATTGTGGCGTATATATATGCACGCACGTACGTATGCACACTAATACTAATAGTAACACGGACACTAATACTAACACACATACTATCACTAACACTAACGCATACATACATATACTGTATATACCACACACACACACACACACACACACACACACACACACACACACACACACACCACACACACACACACACACACACACACACACACACACACACACACACACACCACACACACACACACACACACACACACACACACACACACACACACACACACAACACCACGCCACACACACACATATATTATTTTAACCTCCCTCTTTTTTACTTTCCCTTGCAAGCTCCACATACACTCTCCTATTCAACACTCTTTCTTTTACTTACCCTCTCCCTCCCACCTTCTCCTCCCTCTCACCCTCTCCTTCCTTATCCCCCCCCTCTCTCTCTCTCACCCTTCCTCCCTTACCCCTCTCTCTCCCACTCCCACCTCTTCTCCCTTACCCTCACCCTCTACCTCCCCTACTCTCTACCTCTCCTTCCACCTCCCTCCTCTCTCACCTTCTCCCTCCTACTCCCCTCCTCTTACCCCTCTCCCTCCCTCACCCTCTCCCTCCCACCTCCCACTCTCTCCTCCTACCCTCTCCCTCCCCTCATCCACCTCTTCCCCTCCCTCCCCCACCTTTCCCTCCTCTCACTTCTCCCTCCCCCTCCCACCACCCCCCTCCCACTCACCTGTATAAGCGCGCACACTTGGTGATGCGGGCGTGAGACGACGTCAGGCCGCGGCGTGGGGGCGAGCGGCGAGTGAGGTGTAGGGTGTAGTGTTGAGTGTGTCCAAGTTCGGAGTGAGCGATGTCAACCACGGCCAGGTGAGGTGGTTGTCCCCCAGACCGAGGTGTAGTTCACTAGCCTGTGGAGGGTGAGGGGAAGGGTGAGGGAGGGAGAGGTGGGAGGTTAGGGAAAGGTGGGGGTGGAAGGTGGGGGAGGAGAGAGGGTGGAAGGAGAAGGAGGTGGGGGGGGGGGAGGGAGGAAGGTGGAAGGTGGGGTAAAGGAAGGTGGGAAAGGGTGGGGGGAGGAAAGATAAGGAGAGGAAGAGTGGAAGGCAGGAAGAGAGAGGGGAAGGGGAGTGAGAATTGACAGGAGGTGGTGGAAAGATGGATGGATGGAATTGAAAGGTAAGAGAGGAAGAGAGAGAGAGAGAGAGAGAGAGAGAGAGAGAGAGAGAGAGAGAGAGAGAAGAGAGAGAGAGAGAGAGAGAGAGAGAGAGAGAGAGAGAGAGAGGAGAGAGAGAGAGAGAGAGAGAGAGAGAGAGAGAGAGAGAGAGAGAGAGAGAGAGAGAGAGAGAGACGGAAGACAGACAGGCAGACAAACAGACAGATAGATAGAAAGAGAACAATTATATTAGTAAAAATATCTTTCCTTCACATATTACACAATCCATTTTAAACCACAGCAAACTACAATTCATTTCTAAACTCACGTAGACGGCCCAAATTTATCCTCAAGTCGCGCCTCAGCCTGGCAGTGAAGCGCCACACCTGTCACTTGAACTGTAATGAGCTCGTACTCCACCTCTGCCCAGTAGGACGTGACAAGAGGCGTGAAAGCTGGTTTGAGGTCGACCTCGGGTAGAAGGACGATCCTCTGGAGGTATGGAGCAGTGGCCGGGTCTGTCATAGAAAACGGTACTTGTCAGAGAGAACGGATAAACAGCGTCCAAAAGGAGGGGTAACTATAGTAAATACGTTATAGCCACATGTCAAAGAAAACGTTTACCCGAACCGAAGTGAAGAGGAATAACTATGGCAAATTTATAGAACTTTTGTTGTGTTTGTCATTTTATAAAAGCTATCATTTTTTTATTGTAGAAGAGGAATGACTATAACAAAGATAAGTAGAAAATTGATAATTATAGTAGATATATTTCACGCACATGATATCTAAATACTTACCTTCCATGCAAGGATTTTTCTGAGCTTCCTGGTGCCTCAACCATTTCTCGTGGATGTCTTCATCTTGACGGAGATCCAAACTAGATAAGAAAAGACTGTTAATGAAATATCAAATAATTATCAATATCGCTTTCATTTTATATAACTAAAATATTTAATACAATCAGAATATGATTAAATATAATTGAAATATTTGATATAATTAAAACATAATTAGATATAAAATATGATTAAAAATATAAGAATTAATACAATATTGATATCACTTTCTTATAAAAACAAAATTAATGATAAGTTAATAATCGTAATACCTTTTGACTTTTGGTTAAAACCATGACAAAATTACCGACCTAGCCAACATGGGCGGGAATCCTGAAGGAAGTGGACGGTAAAAGGACTCTAGTGACGTGAGCAGCCCGTGGAGATCCCGAGTCACGTGACGCCAACTTTCCCTGTGAATGGAAAAAAATTAAAATAATTGAATAAATAACTATGAAGGAATGCATGAATGAGTAATGAGTAGGTTGATAACTAGAGCGTCAAATGAATAATCAGGCAAATGAACATAATAACGAGTAAATAAGATATTATCCTTAAAAAACATTACTGCAACTTCTTTAGCAATATGACATGTATAACTTCTATAACGATGTTTTTCTTTTCTTTTCTCTCAAGAAATAGTTAACGAAAAAGAGGCCATAGACCTACGTGAGGAGATAAGAGGCGGGACTGAAGGCGGCGCTCGTGTTGGAGGCGACGGCGTGGTACAGGTCACTGATCACCTTTGGGACGGGCGAAAGGGGATCGGGGTTATTTTTTGGTATTGTTATTGTTGTTGTTGTTATAATTTTTTTTTGTTCTCGTGTGTTCTCTCTATTTCTAGTTTCTTTTCTTTCTTATTTTCTCTGTTTTCTTTTCTCTTTCTTTCTCTCTTTCTTTCTCTCTCTCTCTCTCTCTCTCTCTCTCTCTCTCTCTCTCTCTCTCTCTCTCTCTCTCTCCTCTCTCTCTCTCTCTCTCTCTCCTCTCTCTCCTCTCTCTCTTCTCTTCTCTCTCTTCTCTCTCTCTCTTCTCTTCTCTCTCTCTCTCTCTCTCTCTTTCTCTTTCTCTTTCTCTTTCTTAATACGTATATACATCTCTCTTTCTCTCTTTTTTCTACTCCAAATGATCTTACCTGGTCATATAACTTTCCGTTGGGAGATGGATATATCATAGTAAATCCACCTTGCCTATTTTTCCTCGAATCTCCCATTTTTACCCGAAATCTCTCCATATCTTCCTTCTCCTCACCTCCGGACGAATAAAAATCAATCTTCTCTCTTTGCAAAGTATCACTCATATTATCCGAACCATCCACCAGAGATAATATATCATCGTCGGAGGTCTCGTACGTTTTTCTAAAGTTATCCCTAAATTCCGTGGCGGGAGCTTCCGCGTTTTCTATGATGGGCCGATTTTCTGTCTCCGCTTCTCGTCTCGTGTCTATGAGGTAAGTGAGGTCATGTGGGGTCAGGCACAGCTCGTGGGAGATGAGGCAGTCCACGCTCACTACGCCTGCATGGAGAGGAGAGAAAATGAACGTTTTACAATTCGGACAATTCAGTTTGTTTACATTTGGATTTCCATTTTTTTTTTTACAATTTGCAATACAGGTAATTCAAACTTTTTACGTATTTTTTACAGTTTACAAAACATATAATTCTGTCTTTTTAATTTTTTCAAATTTATAGAACAGACAAGTCAGTCTATACTTTTTCGTAATTTATAAATAATTTTGATATGCGCACGTAATGGTTTCCGTGTGCTTGTTTCGTCATACTGTGACCATAAAAGAAAAAAAAAAGAAATTGCAAATAATTTCTCTGTCTTCCTATTCATCTTTTACCTCTTCTTTTCGTTGTCTTGTATTCCCTCCATCCCTCTCTCTCTCCCTCTCTCTCTCTCTCCTCTCTCCCTCTCTCCCTCTCTCTCCCTCTCTCTCTCCCTCTCTCCCTCTCTCCCTCTCTCCTCCTCCCTCTCCCTCCCCCCTCCCTCCTCCCTCCCAACAAACCTCCCTCCCCCTCACGCCAGATTGTCAGCAGCCTCCGTCAGCGCCTCGTAGACCTCCGCTGACACCTCCTTCTCGGACGTCAGGAGTGCCAGCATGTCTTAGCCACCTGGCCACGCCCACCTCCCCTCCCCCGTGGGCGTGGGCGGGGAAGCTCTGGTCGTGGAGGGACAGGTCGGGTTGTCCGTTGATGGAAATGACGGCCGGGTGGAAGGTCGTGTTGTATACCAGCTCCACTGACAGCAGTTGGTAGCAGCCTTCGCATCTGTTGGGAGGGAGGGAAGGGGGGAGGAGGAAGGAGGGATGGGAGGGGGTAGAGGAGGGAGGGAGGGAGGGAAGATGGAGGGTGGGGAATGGGAGGAGTGAGGGAGGGATGGAGGTGGTTGGAAGGAGGAAGGGAAGAGGGAAGGGAGGAAGGAAGAGGGAAGGGGAGGGAGGTGGGGGAGGAGGAGGCAAAAGGGAGGGAGGGAGGTGGGTTAGAAGGGGGATGGGAGGGTGGGAAGGAGGGAGGAGGGAAAAGGGATGGAGGAGGAGGGAGAATAGGATAGAGGAGGAAGACGGGATGGGAGTCAGGTAGAGAGTGGAAAAATGGAGAGAGGGAGAGTGGGATGGAGGAAGAAGAGAAGAAAGTAGAGAGGAAGAGAAGAAGGAGGGTAAAGGATAAGGCAGACAGGGATAGAAGTAAGGGTGTGATGGAATGAGAGGAAGGATGAAAATAAGAAAAACAAAATCGTGGGATAGGTGGAGATAGAAAGTGGATGAAAGAGGAGGTGCGAGAATTGCAAAAGAGGGGAAATGAAATAGAAGAGGAAGATGAGGAGATGGGAGAGACAGAAGATAAGAATTATATCATTATTTATCATTATCACTATCATTATCATACTTCTTCATCTCATTGTTATTATTATTATCATTATCATTACGATTGTTATCATCATCATTGCTATCATTATTAGTATCATTATCATCATCATTATTATTTTTATCATGTCATCTTTATTGATTTTTATTCTAAATGCACTCTGTAGATACTTGTATATATGCTTATATCTTTATCTAGGTATAGATGTATAAATATAGATATCGTTCCATTCCTTCTACCTATCTATTCTCTCTCTCTCTCCCTCCTCCCCTCTGCCTCCCTCCCTCCTCACGCTCCTCTATTCTATCTATCTATCTATCTATCTATCTATCTATCTATCTATCTATCTATCTACTCTATCTATCTATTATCAATCTATCTATCTATCTCCTCCCTGGCCTCCGTCCCTCCTCCCTCCCTCACCTCCCTCCCTCGCTCTCCCTCCCCCCTCCCACCACTCTCTCATCTCTCTCTCCACTCTCTCTCTCTGTCATCTCTCGTCGTCTCTCTCTCTCTCCCTCCCTCCCACCTCTCATTTCTCTCTCTTCTCTCTCTTCTCACCCTCTCTCTTCCTCCCTCCCACCCACACCACCCACCCACCCACCCCACCCTCCTCCCTCCTATCCCCTCCCTCCTCTCTTCTCCCTTCTCCCTCCCTCCCTTCCGTGTACATACGACCTCTCCAGGTAATTAATTAAGAACCGCACAACTCAGGTCATTTTTCCGTAAAAAATAGTCCGACCCATTATCTCCCATTCGAGGTCATCGCCCCCCCCCTGTTCTCAGTTGCACCAGCGGCCTCATTGCAAGCGTTGTGGGAGTTGTAAGCGTGCAACACTTGCCGAGAGGGAGTAGATTGGATAATCAGTGAGTGAAAAAAGAAGGAAAAAAAATTATAGAGTACGGTATAGAGTCGTAGGAATTGGTACAGTGGGCGAACTGTGTGAACAAAACGTTTTGTGGATGAACAGTGTGGAAAAAAATGTTTTGTGGAACAGTGAAAAACGTTTTGTGGGTGAACAGTGTGGGAAAAATGTTTTGTATGAAGGACAGTTTGAACAAAAACGTTTTGTGGGTGAACAGTGGTGAAACAAAACGTTTTTGTGGATCAACAGTGTGAACAAAACGTTTTGTGGGAACAGTGAACAAAACGTTTTTGGTGATCAAGTGTGAACAAAACGTTTTTGTGGGTGAACAGTGTGAACAAAACGTTTTTGTGGATCAAATGTGCAACAAAACGTTTTGTGGGATCAAGTGTGAACAAAAACGTTTTTGTGTTGTTATAGTGTGAACAAATCGTTGTTTTTTTGGTGAAGGTGTAAAGTAGTTCAATCTATAAAGTGTGGTTTGTGGAAAGTGAAGGGTTTGTATGAGATAGGGGGGGGGAGGAAGAGGAGAGGAGAGGAAAAGGAAAGGAAAGGAAAGGAGGAGAGAAAGAGAGAAAAGAAGAGAGGAGAGGAGAGGAGAGGAAGAGGAAGGAGGAGAGGAGAGGAGAGGAGAGGAGAGGAGAGGAAGAGGAGAGAAGAGAAGAAGAGAAGAGAAGAGAGAGAAGAGAAGAGAAGAGAAGAGAAGAGAAGAGAAGAGAAGAGAGAAGGAAAGAGAAGAGAAGAGAAGAGAAGTGAAGTGAGTGAGTGAAGTTGAAGTGAAGAAGTGAAGTGAAGTGAAGTGAAGTGAAGTGAAGTGAGAGGAAGAGAAGAGAAGAGAGGAAGAGAAGAGAGGAGAGGAGAGGAGAGGAGGGAGAGGAGAGGAGAGGAGAAGAGGAGAGGGAGAGAGAGGAGAGGAGGAGAGGAGAGGAGAAGGAGAGAGAGAGAGAGGAGAAGAGGAGAGAGAGAGAAGAGAAAGAGGAGAGAGAGAAGAAAGAGGAAGAGAAGAGAGAAAGAAGAAAGAGAGAGAGAGAGAGAGAGGAGAGAGAGAGAGAGAGTAAAGATAGAGAGACAGACAGACAGACCAACAACAACAGCAAAAACAGACTACAGAACGAAAGAAAAGAACAAGAAACAAAGATAGGAAAGGCGAAATACAGACGGTAGTTGGTGTTCCGGCAAAACTACTCGAGAATTTCGGGCGCAAAACTCCCTGCATTTTCCAACGAAGCCCAAACTGTGGAGGCGCGTCTGCTTTGCTAGAAGACTTTGACTAAATTTGTTGCTCGCTGATGCACCAAAATTTTTCATTTATTTACCATTTTATTATTGTTATTATGTTGTATTATTATTATTATTATCATTATTGTATTATCATTATTGATTAATTTATTATCATTATCATCTTCATTATCATCATTACCATCACACAACACACAACACACAACACACACACACCACCCCTCCTCCCATCCTTTCCCATCCTAACCCACCCCCTCCTTACCCCCACCAACCCCCAAACCACTCACTCTCCTCCCCACGCCCCACCCCTCACCTCACACCCGCCTCACCCTACCCTCACCCCTCACCCCCTCACCCCCCACACTCCCTCCCCCCCCACACCCACACCCACCCCCTCACCTACCCCACCGCCACCCTCACCCTACCCTCCTCACCCTACCCCACCTCACCCTACACTCCCCCACCACCCCCTCACCCACCCCCCCCCACCCCCACCCCCCCACCCACCCCACCCACCCCATCCTACCTGAACCTCCGAGACGGTTTTCCTCAGACTCTGCAACTTGGGCGGCAGAAGCAGGTCGGCCACCAGTGCCACGGTGGCGAGGGCGGCTTCGGTGTGGCCCACCATGGCCCTCATAGCCTCCTGGCCTGACGTGCGGCCCACCCACGAAATCAGCTCAGCCCACGTCCACACGCGGCCCGGGATCTGTGGGCGGGGAGAGAGAGAGAGTGGATAGATAGGTGGGTAGATAGATAGGTCGGTAGGTTGCTAAGTGGATGGAGAGATAGATTGATAGACAAGTAGATTGAGAGATAGATATAGTCAGATAGGTAGGTAGATAAGGACAAAATGATGGAGAGAGAGAGAGAGAGAGAGAGAGAGAGAGAGAGAGAGAGAGAGAGAGAGAGAGAGAGAGAGAGAGAGAGAGAGAGAGAGAGAGAGAGAGAGAGAGAGACACGCACACACACACACAGAATGAGCAAGAAAGAAAGAGAGAGAGAGAATGAGCAAGAAAGAAAGAGAGAGAGAGAGAGAGGGGGGGGGAATTCGCTTTATTTGATAAAGAAGAAGACAAATAAAACAAAAAACAAAAAAGCAATTGAATAGTTTATTGAAAAAGATAATTCAAAACGAAACGGAACTTGAAATGCAAACAGAAAACGGAATCTAGGATGTAAATAGGAAACAGAAAACGGGAATCGAGCGAAAAGAAAGAAAATGGGAACTAAGCAGAAACTTAAACATAAACTTAAAAATAAAAATAAAAAAAGGACACTGTCAGTCATCATGTAGATTGTAAATAATAATAAAAAACAGTAAGGATGATGGTGATAAATAGTGATAACAATAATAGTAACGATAACAATGAAGATGATGATAATAAGAATTATAAAAATCAAATCAATCAATAAAAATAACAAGACCTATTTACTTCGTTTAAAATAACTGGAAGTGCATAGAAATCTAAATCTAGTAGATCATCATTATTAGATTAATCATTATCAATCATATAGATTATTATTATTATTATTATTAGATTTTATGTTACAGACTAGAAATCAGACGTACTTGCTGATTACTTTATTGGCTCCTCACAACAAATGAACAAACAAAAACACATCTCCAAAAACAAACATATAAACAAACAAAAATATTAAATAAACAAAACATCACATTGAAAACAAACAAATGATAAAAAACACCCTCTTCAAAACAAACAAACAAACAAGCAAACAAAACTTCAAGACACAGAAAACAAACAAACAAGAAAAAACTCCCCTCCTAAAACAAACAAAACACAAACAAACAAAAACAAAAAACTCTCCCCTCCCAAAACAAACAAAACTTCAAGACAAACGAACTAGCAAAGAAAAAAACTCCTCTTCCAAAACATACAAACAAAACTTCAAAACAAACAAGCAAAAAAAAAAAACTCCTCTCCCACTACAAACAAAACAAAACACTAAACAAACAAAACAAAAAAACATCAAACAAAAACAAACAAAACAAGACAAACAAACCCAAAAAAACTCCCCCCAAACAAACACAAAAACAAACACCCACCAAACAAGTAAACAAAGACAACACACCCCCCCCCAGCCCGCCCCAGCCTGCACGAGTGAGAATGCGCTGACGACCCCGTAATGTGGAAATATTGTTCAAAAACTCTGAAAAAGAGTGATGGCGCCGAGACGAAATGGCTTAAAGATGTGCCAGTCTTTTTAGGCCGTGTGTGTGTCTGTTTGTCTGTGTGGTGTGTGTGTGGGGGTGGGGGGGGGGTGTTTGTTTGTGTGTGGTGTGTGTGGGGGGGGGTGTTTGTGTGTGTGTGTGTGTGTGTGTTGTCTGTGTGTGTGTGTGTGTCTGTGTGTGAGTGTGTCTGTATGTGTCTGTGATTTGGTATGCTTGTGGTTGTCTAAGTGTGTTTGTATCTGTCTGTGTTGATGATTCGCTAAATCTGTCTGTCTAAGTATGTGTCTGTGACTGTTTAACTTTGTGTCTGTATATGCTGGCATGTGTCTGTATGTGTCTGTGTCGTTGACTTGTTAAGTTTGTGTATGTAAAAGTCTGTCTGTATCTATGACTGTTTAAGTTTGTGTATGTAAAAGTCTGTCTGTATCTATGACTGTTTAAGATTGTGTCTGTCTAAGCCTGTACATGTCTGTATGTGTCTGTGTCTATGTCTGTAAAAATCTGTCTGTGTTTGTGTCTTTATCTGTATGTGGTGTGTCTGTTTGAGGCTGTCTCAGTTTGTGTCTGTAAAAAGTATGTCTGTGTCTGTACGTATTTGTCTATGACTGTTTAAGCATGTGTCTTAATTTGTCTTAGATTGTGTCTTTGTATATCTATCTGTGTCTGTCTGTGTATATCTGTCTGTCTGAATTTGTTTGTGTCTAAGTCTGTCAAAATCTGTCTGTCTGACTTCTTCTGTGACTAAGTCTGTCAAAATCTGTCTTTCTGAATTTGTTTGTGTCTAAGTCTGTCAAAATCTGTCTGTCGTCTAAGTCTGTCAAAATCTGTCTGTTTGTTTGCGTCTAAGTCTGTCAAAATCTGTCTGTTTGTTTGCGTCTAAGTCTGTGTTAAGTCTGTCAAACTGTTTGTTTGCGTCTAAGTCTGTCAAAATCTGTCTGTTTGTTTGCGTCTAAGTCTGTCAAAATCTGTCTGTTTGTTTGCGTCTAAGTCTGTCAAAAATCTGTCGTCTAAGTCTGTCAAAATCTGTCTGTTTGTTTGCGTCTAAGTCTGTCAAAATCTGTCTGAATTTGCCTGTGTCTGTGGTTGTCTGTCTCCATCTAACAGTTTCTGTTTGATTCGACTGTTTCTCGCGTCTGTCTTAGTCTCTCTGTGGCTGTGTATACCAGAATCTGTCTTTTTGTGTCTATCCGTGTCTGTTTCTGTCTGTCTGTGCCTGTGTATACCAGAATCTGTCTTTTTGTGTCTATCATTATCTGTGTGTCTGTTTCTGCATGTCTGCCTATCCAGGTCTGCATGTGCTAATCGTGTCTGTCTGTGAGTTTGTAAATCTGTGACTGAATATGTCTGTCTGTGTCTCTTAATGTCTGTCTGTGTCTGCATCTGTCTGTCTATATGGTGCTGTCTAGTTCTATGTATGTCGATTTGTGTCTGTTTGTTTCTATTTATGTCTGTATTGCCTGACGTGTCTGTGTAAATCTGTGTGTATCCGTTTGTGTCTGTATGTTTGTATGTCTCATAGGAGGAAGGAGATAGAGAGACAGAAAGAAAGAAAGAACAAAAGAAAAGAAAGAAAGAAGAAAGAAAGAAAGAAAGAAAGAAAGAAAGAAAGAAAGAAAGAAAGAAAGAAAGAAAGAAAGAAGAAGAAAGAAGAAGAAGAAGAAGAAGAAGAAGAAGAAGAAGAAGAAGAAGAAGAAGAAGAAGAAGAAGAAAACATATATATATATATATATATATATATATATATATATATATATATATATATATATATATATATAATCTAGAGAGAGAGAGAGAGAGAGAAGAGAGAGAGAGAGGAGAGAGAGAGAGAGAGAGACAGACAGACAGACAGACAGAGACAGAGAGAGAGAGAGAGAGAGAGAGAGAGAGAGAGAGAGAGAGAGAGAGAGAGAGAGAGAGAGAGAGAGAGAGAGAGAGAGAGAGAGAGAGAGAGAGAGAGAGAGAGAGAGAGAGAGAGAGAGTGAGAGTGAGAGAGAGTGAGAGTGAGAGTGAGAGAGAGACAGAGACAGAGACAGAGACAGAGACAGAGACAGACAGACAGACGACAGAGAAGTGAGTGAGAGAGTGAGAGAGAGGAGAATGAGGGAGAGGGGAAGAGTAAGTAAAAGAGAGAGAGTGAGAGAGAGTGGGCTGCTAGTGGGCATTTTACGGGTATGTGGGTGTTTATGCAAGTGCTATAGATTTTGGGGGATTTAAAAACGTATGTGATGAATTGCGTTTTGGGATTTCCTAATAGAGATACGGACAGGCAGACACACACGCTCTCTCTCTCTCTCTCTCGCTCTCTCTCTCTTTCTATCTCATTCTCCCTCCCTCCCCCTCTCTCTCTTTCTCTTTCTTTCTTTCTGTCTCGGTCTCTCTCTCTGTCTCTCTGTCTCTGATTCTCTCTCTCTCTTTCTGTCTTACTCACTCTCTCTCCCTCTCTTTTATTTATTTCTCTCTTCTCCTCTCTTCCTCCTCTCTTTTATTTATTTCTCTCTCCCTCTCTCTCCCTCTCTTTTATTTATTTCTCTCTCCCTCTCTTTTATTTATTTCTCTCTCCCTCTCTCTCCCTCTCTCTCCCTCTCTCTCCCTCTCTCTCCTCTCCTCTCTCCCCTTCTTTCTCTCTCTCTCCCCTCTCTCTCCCTCTCTTCTCCCTCTCTCTCCCTCTCTCTCTCCCTCTCTCTCCCTCTCTCTCTCCCCCTCTCTCTTCCCCTCTCTCTGCTTCCTCTCTCTCCTCCCTCTGTCTCTCTCTTCTCTCTGCTCTCTCTGCCTCTTCTCTGCTCTCTCTGCCTCCCTCCCTCTCTCTCCCTCTCTCTCCCCCTCTCTCCTCCATCTCTCCTCTCCTCTCTCTCACTCTTCTCCCTCCTCTCCCTCCCTCTCTCCTCTCTCTCCCTCTCTCCCTCTCTCCCTCTCTCCCTCTTCCTCTCTCTTCTCTCTCTCTCTCTCTCTCCTCTCCTCCTCCCTCTTCCTTACCCACCCCATTCCTCTCCCCACCCACCCTCCCTCCCTGCTCTCCCCCACCCACCCTCCCTCCCTGCTCTCCCCCCCCTACCCCCCTAAAAACATACCCATCCACCCACTCCCTCCCCCCCCTCCCTCCCCCTCCTCACCTTAGCATATCCTCTAGAGGGCGGCTGCCGGAAGACCACCTCCCCGTGGGCGTGAACGTGGGCGCGAAGGGGCTGGAGCGAGGTCAGGAGGAGGTACAAGGTCACGGACACGCTAACCCCAAGGACTTGAAGAGGTGGACCCCAGTGGACCTGCGCGATCTGGCCGGCGCCCGAGTCTGTGGGGAGAGAGGGAGAGGGGGAGAGTGAGAGAGTTGGGGGGGGAGGGGGGAGAGTGAGAGTGATGAAGGGGGGGGGGAGGTGGGGGGAGTGGAAGAGGGGATAAGAGGGAGGAAATGGGATAGAGAGGGGAGGAGTAAGAGAGATGTGGGGGAGAGAGAGAGAGAGAGGGGAGAGTGAAAGAAGGTGGGGGAGGGGAGAGGGGGGAGAGGTGGGAGAAGGGATGAAGAGAAGGTAAAATAAAAGGAAGAAGAGAGATGGAGGGGGGGGGGATTAAGAGAAAAAAAGAGACAGGAAAGAAAAAGGGAGAAGGAGAAGGCGTGATGAAGGAGGAAGTGGGAGGGAGAGGGAGGAAAGAGAGAGACAAGTTAACAGAGAAAAAAAAGAAGAAAAATTGGAAGAAATGAGATAAAGAAAAGGAAGAAGAAAAAATAGAAGAAAGGAGAAGAAAGAAAGAAGAAGAAAGAAAGAAAGAAGAAGAAGAAGAAAGAATAAGAATAAGAAAGGAAGAAGAAAAACAGAAAAGAAGAAAAACAATACATATTGATATTCTTAAACCTAAGTGAAAAAAAATACATAGCACAGACATTATACAAGCAAACAAAGAATAAAGACAAACAAAAGTAAACAATAACAGACAAGAACAACCGCAAACTCACAAACAAAAATAAAACAAAAAATGAACTATAAACAAACAAGCAAAGAAATAAGCAAGGACACACACAAACAAACAAACATAAAGAATCAAACAAACAAAATCAATCAAACAAAAGAAGAACTAACAAACAAACAAAAAAACGAACCAGGTAGCAGACACACACAAATAAAATATGTAAACAAATATACAAAAAACACACAAACAAAAGCAAACGAACAAATAAAAGCCAACTAACACACATACAAACACATACACAAACAAAAAGCCCACAAACATAGACACGCTAAATGGCAAACAAACAGATGCACCCAAACACAAACAAACAAAAGCAAAAAAACAAAGCAAAACACCCAAACAAAAGCAAACAAACAAACAAACAAAAAACATAAACAAGCAAACAAACAAAAAACAAACAAACAAAAGCAAACAAACAAAATAACAAACAAACAAACAAAAAAAACACAGAAAAAAACACCCAAAACAACACACAGACAAACCCAAACAAACCCACTTCTTGTCCCTCATCTCCTGCAGGAGCCTCCCATTATCGAGCAGCGCCACGCCCCCCCTCCCATGGCCCCCCACGCCCCGCCCGCCTTCACCACCCCACTGGGCCGAGTCGGGGAGGGCGTGGGCGGCGGCGGCGAGGTAGCTGGCGTGGGCGGGGAGGGCGTAGCAGGGGGGGAAGAGGGACCTGACGGGCGGGACCAGGCGGGCGGCGTGGAGAAAATCGCAGAGGTTGTCGCGGCGCCACAGGGAGGTTCTCAGGCCGGGGAGGCGGCCGACCTGCGTGGAGGGGGGGAGGGGGTTAGTGAGTGGGGGATGTGGGGGTGAGTGACTGGGGGGTGAGTGACTGGTGGGGTGAGTGGGGGAGGGGGTGAGTGAGTGGGGGGGAGGGGGGATGTGGGTGAGTGGTGGGGGTGGGAGGTGAGTGGGTGGCAGGGAGGAGGGGGGTGAGTGGGTGAGTGGGTGAGTGGGGGTGAGGGTGAGTGGGGGGAAGGGGGATGTGGGTGAGTGGGGGGTGAGGGTGATGGGGGAGGGGTGAGTGGGGAGGAGGGGGGTATGTGGGTGAGTGGGGGAAGGGGTGGGGGGATGTGAGTGAGTGGGGAGATTGGTAAATGGGTGGGTGGGGGGGTGAGGGTGAGTGGGGTTGGAGAGAGTGAGTGGATGACAGGGGGGGGGGGCGTGAGTGATTGGTGAGAATGAGTGGGTGACAGGGGAAGGGTTGACAGAGGGCGGTGGGGGAGTGGTGAGAATGAGTGGGGGGGGGAAGCGTGTGGGAAGGGGGTGAGTGTGGGATGAAGTGAGTGGGTGACGGAACCTGCGTTGTGTGGGGGGTGAGTGAGTGTGGGGGGGGGGTGAGTGAATGGGGGGGGGCGAGTAAGTGAGTGGAGGGTTGAGTGAGTGAGAGTGAGTGGGTGACGAAGGGGAGGGGGGTGCAGGTAGGAGTTGGGGTTGAATAGGGAGGTTGAGCAATGAATGAGAAAGAGTGAGTGAAGAGTGAGTGAGAGTGAGCGTGAGTGAGTGAGTGAGTAAGGGATGGCACAGGATGAATGCAAGGAGAGAGATAGAGATAGGCCGTCTTCTGTACGTGCCATAAAAAGTTAATCCAGTATTAAAGTTTAATCTAGATCTTTTAACGCACCTCTAGACCTTCCTTTAATATTAAGCTCATGTTTTTAAATCCCGCACATGCGCAGAATGGACACGTTAATCCCGCCAATCATGGACCGTTACGTCACGTGTCCGTCATGATCTAAGGTTGCCATCGCTTGAGTTGCCATTCAGAGTTATTTTCGGCAATAACACCGATCGTCTTAGAATTTTCATACTTGGTATTTATTATGAAAATGAAATTATATATATTTACGCAAATGATCAAATATTCAGACTAATGAAATGACTTACGGCAATGAATATAAAAACCAATATAATCCCACGAGGAATCTCAGTTGCCAGAAAAATCTTTTAACAATGCAGTGTCTGAATGCAAATTGCAAGGTTTATTTATCCAAGTAAATTTTATATCGCACTGCAAATCTTTAGGTAATATTTAGAAAACTGTCTTCTATCGTATGCGTAAGGACATGAAGGGTGAATGTTGAATAAATATCTTTTGGATGATTTTGTTGCTTATTTACAGGTGTGAGTACTTGACTTGCTCCAAACGCTACCCTACACAACATGCAACAGTTATGTGTGAAGAGCAACATTGCACAGAAACGTTTCAAAATACCCACAATTTTTTTCAGCAATAAAAAGACAACATACCTCAGCTCCCACCCTTTAGATTTGCAAAACCTATTCCCACACGCCCAGAAATATGAGACCAGATCTTCACATCAACAACAGTGGGCAGAACCATCACTATATCACAGACCAGGAACATCACAAGAATTGATAGAAATATAAAGAGACAGTCCATTAACTTAAGATTCCAAACAAATCATATTTGAAACAGATAATCTTGAAAAAATGTGTACAGAAAATAGAGGTACGAACTTTCTTACTTTGATATGATGCTAGTCTTAGTTTTAAATTTTGGGAACATTGGGAGGCATAAAAATGATTAATAATATGAATAAGTTTTTAATGCCTTGTCTTCAATCATGTAAGTACGTCTGGGATGAAGGGAAAGAAAAGGTGGTCTTCAGAAGCATCTGAAAAGTTTATATTATTATTTACAAAACACTTTAAACAATTAGGAGACAAAGCAGTGCAGATAAAAAAAAAGGCATAAGATAATTAGCATTATGAAACCTTTGGTAAGAGTCTCAGTTTCATGAAATCCACATTAAATATAATAGGCATTTTGAAACCTAAGAGATGTCTAAAATAGTTTCTTACACATGATTACCAAAAACATGACATTACAACAAGAAAGAAAGAAAGAAAAACATGAAATCTCCCAAAAGAGCGAAATTCACGCGCGACATTTCTCTTCCCTCCGACTTGTTTACATGATAACGGTGGCGATAGAATGGCGAGGACGACAGTTTTTCCTGAACATTATTGTCGCGCCGTCTGGCAGCGGAGAGTGTCGTCTGAACATTATTGTCGCGCCATCTGGCAGCGGAGAGTGTCGTCTGAACATTATTGTCGCGCCGTCTGGCAGCAGAGAGTGTCGTCTGAACATTATTGTCGCGCCGTCTGGCAGCGGAGAGTGTCGTCTGAACATTATTGTCGCGCCATCTGGCAGCGGAGAGTGTCGTCTGAACATTATTGTAGCGCCATCTGGCAGCGGGAAGTGTCGTCTTCGGTACGGACACGGTGGACTAGGATTAAACTAAATACGGTATTAAGAGTTAAGGACGCTACAGAAGACGCCCATAGATAGAGAGAGAAGGGGTGGGGAGAGATAGACATACATATAGACAGACAGACAGACAGATAGATAGATAGTGTGGCACCATTTAAGTAATCAGGTTGGAATAGAGTAGTTGAGTGCGAATGAAATTAATGAAAACGAATTAGAAATATGAAAAAAACAATCATTAAAACTCGAAACAGGAACTTAAACGGTTAAATAATTTGAAATTTATATCTTGTGAATCTATATTTTTAAAGTTGATGATACGAAAAATAAAAGCGACAAATAACAGCAATGAAATAGATTAATATACGGATTAGATTAATAAAGTGAATGATTAATAATATGAATGTTAATGTGGGTTTATAAAATGGTGTCTATATAGAAGAAATATCATATGCATGATGGGATCAAATGATACAATACTGATTAAATTGGAATCATTTTGATATCGTATTATTAATGTTAATTGAGGTTGACTGAATTCAAAAATGGAAAGAGTTTAGGAAATGTAAAATAAAATAGTGAAATAGGGTGATTGAAAATTGAAATAGGGTGATGTTGGAAAATTATGATGCTAATATACGTTGATGTTATGACAGTGTGATGAATAGGATGAATGATAAAAATAAAGAGACAGCGAAGTATGAAATAAAAGAGTGAAATAGGGTGACTGAAAATTGAAATAGGATGAAAATGTTGGAAAATTATGATGTTAATATGTGCTGGAGTTGTGACAGTGTGATGAATATGATGATTGACATAACGCCAAAATAGATGGAAAGTGATGATATTGTGTTATCAAATTGTGACGTATGCAATGATGATATGAAGTGAAATTAATATAATCTATTGTCAATATATATATCATTGATAAGATAAAACAATTATATTATCTTAGACGACTGTTGAAAGATAATATAAGTTAGTGAAATTTCGTTCAGCTTATGAAATTGTAACAATTAAAGAGTGATATAAACATTATTAATGGATGTTGATATAATGTTAAATGTTAAAACAGTCTTAAGAAATAATACACACTTGAGGTCTATAAATAGCATCATGATTTATTCTATATGAGAGACAAGAATAAGAAATTATAAATTTTTGCCATTTTTTTCTGTTCTTTGTGTGAAAATAAATAAATAAAATTCTTACACACAACCAAAATTAGAATCTAAATTCATAATACAACATTGAATACAACTTCTAATCTATATCAAAGCCCAACTCAAAATACAACACGAAATACAAAAATACAAAAACAGTTTGTAAAGGGAAACCGGGCTCCCTTTTGGCGCCAACTTTTATTTACACGCGCTGTGATCAAAAGCATTCATCGATTATCATCCTTTTTCTTTTTTTTTTTCGTTCCTTTCTCTTCTATTCCCCCTTTCTCCTTTTTTGTGACCTTAAAATACCTTTCACAATAAGGCGATAATTAATTACCTGGTTTGAATAAGGAGAAGGAGAGAGAGAGAGAGAGAGAGAGAGAGAGAGAGAGAGAGAGAGAGAGAGAGAGAGAGAGAGAGAGAGAGAGAGAGAGAGAGAGAGAGAGAGAGAGAGAGAGAGAGAGAGAGAAATAGATAGATAGATAGAGATAAATAGATAGATAGATAGAGATAAATATATAGATAGATAGTTAGATAGATAAAGAGAGAGCTGTGGATAGATACATAGATAGATAGATAGACTGACAGATAAATAGGTAGACAAACAGACAGATCGATAGATATATAGATACATTTATTGGTAGATTTAATAGTAGATAGATAACAGATAACAATTAAACAGATAGATAGATAGATAGACAAATAGGTAGATAGATAGACAAATAGGTAGATAGATAGACAAATATAGATAGATAGATAGAATGAGAAGCAAAGGAAGACACCATTAAACAAGAAAAAAATATATATATAACCTTCCATTCCCATCCTATGAAAAAGAAAAAAAAACACATCCAGCACAGTTTGGCTAAAGATTGATGATGACTTTCCTTCGATCAAAAGACAAAGAGAGAAAAAAACAAAACAAAAACAACACCAACACCAAAGCGAATTCTCACAAAGAAAATAAAGACGAGAAAAGAAGCAAAAAAAGGTAAAAGAAGAGAAAAGAAAAGCTTGAATAGACCAGTGAAATAATGACAACGGGCAACTCGACAGAATGAGCTTTCCTGTCTGTTGTGTTTTGGCGGGAAACTGAAGCCACA